GTTTCAAAAAAAAAAAAAAAAAAATAAACAAAGCAAAAGGAAGGATTACACTTTTGTTCGACAGAAAAATTAACAAAGTTCATGAGAAAACTGAAGAATAATAAAATTTCATAGGAAAAGAAAAAAATAATTTCAAGAGAGTCGGTTGACTTTCAGTGGTGATTTTTTATTTGGGAGTTTCACGTCTGAATCGTGTCTTGTCACAGGCAAGATGGCGGTGGGAGCGGGACGACGTGTTTCCAAAAATCACCGCACGAAGTTAGAGTGGCGCTCCTCCGTTTAATTGTCGGAGCAAGCGAGTCCAGCCAGCTTGGCGAGAAGCGAGAAACGCGAGCCGACTCCATAACGTGAACAAAGGAAAATTTAATACGCCCGCCGAGGAGAACTATTCCGAAATTGCGTTTATCCGGTGGTGCACGCGAGTTTCTGCGAAGGAATGCGTCTGGTTACGCGTGACGTCGCGCGGAAAAACTTCGGTAAACCTCTTTCTCGAACCGATACCTAGCAACCTGCTAAATTTTCAGAGTGAATTCTCTTTCTCTCTCTCTCTCTCTCTTCTCTCGGAGAAGATTTAACTTCTCGACGTACGAATTAAATGAAATTAATATACATTAATAATTGTGGGATGGGCAAATTCTGGGAAAGATTGCAACCAGATTTTCCAAATGGTGTACCATAAACTGTAAAGAAAGTTAGGCCTGGGACTTGGGATCGTTTATGGCGAGTCTTTCATGGCCTAGCATTTAAGACACTAAATATGGATGCGTTTGTGTGTTTGTATGTATGGATGAGTGACGACTTTTTGGGCCGACGAAAGAGAGCACAGTGAGTGTCGAGGAACTAGAGAGTGAGTGTCGAAACGTCAAAGAGAAAGCAGAATGAGCGAGCCGTGAAAGAGAGAATACAGTGAGTTGAGTGTTGCGCGAGAGAGAGAAGAGAGTCTAGCGAGTTCAGTAATTAAGAAAATAGTGTAGAACGTCACTTTAATCACTATAATCATCATTAAACAAATTTATTTAAATTTAACTTTAAATAAACAACTATCTTTTATGAAAATTCCTGCAAATTGGAGTCTCAAGCCGGGATCCTACATAAATGAAAAACTGAAGGGTTTGGAGAAATTAAAAACCGTACTTGTGAGCAGAAAAATGGTGATCTTTTGTCACACGTGCTACTTAAAAAATTCCATTGACAATACCACCAAAATAGAATAACAAACAATTAAAGAGAACATGTGTTTGCGAAAGTTATTTCCGTTTCGTGTTATTTCGTGCCTTCTGTTCCTTTTTCGTTTCTTTGCTTTTGCACGCAATTCCAGTTATTATTTACTCGATTCTATGAACACGAGGCCAGCGGGGTTCTCGCAACAAGTCTCGCGGATCGTTGGAACAGGCAGAGGAGCGACGAATCGCGGCGGAAACTCGCAAGCGAACGAGTTTTCCCAACTTTTGTCTCATCCGACTTTCGTCGATAACTCGCCCCAAGGGTATCCGGGCTCCGGCCACTTTCGTGCTCGATGCTCGAAACGCGTGTCGTTGCGAGTTCATCGCGATATTGTTGCTCCCACCTATATTTCTTCGTACCACTACTGGAACCGAGTAGAGCTCAGTGAAAAAGTCAATGGAAACGTCGACGTGACCACCGGCTGGAACGAAAATCGCGCTCGTTTCTCCTCCCATTCATAAATTTGCACCCAATCGTACAACCGTGTGTTCAAATTTCAGCTTTCGGACTTTGCACGATGTATCTTTCATTGTCGTTCGAGCGTTTAAATCACTGCCCTCTTTCAACCTATCGCGACGTGGCAACTGATTGCGGACCATAACGAGTGACCGAGACTGTACACACAACAATTCGTTCCGTTTTCAAATTCATCGGTATACAACTGAAATAGAAATTACTGAGAAGTAATAAATTTATAGAAATAATATTTATATTTATATTTAAATTTATAGAAATAATATTTATATTTATATTTAGTAGAGTACTGAGAAGTAATAAATTCATAGAAATTATATTTATATTTAGTAGAGTACTGTGAAGTAATAAATTTATAGAAATTATATTTATATTTAGTAGAGTACTGAAAAATAATAAATTTATAGAAATTATATTTATATTTATATTTAGTAGAATACTGAGAAGTAATAAATTTATAGAAATTATATTTAT